TAAATAATGTAAAAGATTTATGTTTTTTTAAACATTTATGTATGTTTTTATAAGTGTGTGCAGTTAGTAGTTTAAATATGTTCAATAAACTCAGAATAACTCAACCCTCAGCAATATAAACTAATTTTAAAATTCCACTTAAGCTTTTTTTATATATATTATACTCCCAATAACTCTAATTTTCTTTAAACTAAACTAATTTCTTTGTCCTTTAAAGGTGTGGGTTATCTAGAGTTTACTTTAACATGTTCTGCTATTTAACTAATTGTTGTGATGTTTTATGCTAATAGGCTTGGTTCATATTCATGTTGATCTGTCAGGGTTATGGAAAAATAAAAAGTAAGTTTCTTATCCACTTACTCGCATTTTTGAGTTTTCAAAAAAACTAATTGATTGCATGACACGTTAATTTCCAATGAATGTATTATGTTTAAAATAATTTTGTTCCATTTTTAGGTCGAGTTCCTTTTCTTATAGCTGACTTGATTATGGCTTACCTAAAGCCTAATAAGAATGAAACAATGTTTCAATTTAAATTTTTTTTTAAGTATTTTTGTTACTTTTTGTTAAATATAATATTTTTTTTGTAATTTTTTTTAAAGTTTCAAGAAAAATATGTTTTTTGTTTCTTAAGTAAATATCTATATTTTTTTATTTTTGGATCTATTGTTTCAAATGGATATATTGATCATTTTTGCATCGTTTTTTATTTTTGTTGCTTTTCATTATATATATGTAAATAGAAACCATTTATACTTAAAATCGTATTTTGTACTCGAAGTTTCCATTTGCATTAAGTATCGATTAGCACAAACAACATGTTTAATAACTTCTGATGTAAAAACAGCTTAATTGAATGAATTAGCTAACAGTTTTGTTTTTTACAGCAACGTTTTTATAAAAAGTATCAAACAGATAAAGCTAACTTATTTAAAATAACAAGTCTCTTAGGCCCGTTTTCTAAAGTCCAAATTTGTTTTTTAAATAAATCTTGATGAGAGGGTAAAATCTTGATTATAGCTTAAGTTTTCAAAAACACCTGAAAAATTATTGCGCAACTGTCTCTATTATGTTAAAGATCCTTTTATGTATAAAATATTGGAGTACATTAAGTAAATAAGTTCAGTTTCTAAAGTATATTAAGTCAATTATTAACCAATAACTTCAAATCGACTTACTTTTTACTGTTTACTTAAGGTATAGAGACCTAACTAAGAACAAGTTTGGAAATAGGATGTGAAATAGAGTTGCCGCGACCCGTATCGTACGGGTCACCACAGCTAATTCCACAATTAAAACAGTATAATTGTTAATATATTTCTACAATTATATAAATTTTTTATAATTATATAAATAACTTATGAGTTTTTTTACAGAAACCCAGCGGGCACCGGACCTAAAAAACACGTGTACAAGACGTTTTAAATGTCTTTTTTTTGTTCGTGCCTACTGGGAAGGCTTTTATATAATATATGTAATAAGTAAAAAAACTAATTAATTCTTAAAGAACAGTAAATTAGAAATCAAGAACTGTAGGTAGTCAGTAAAATGCAAACTGTGTACTTTTTAGCGAACCAAAACATTTTAATGACCACAACAGTCATGATATTAAAAACATTTCCTCATTGATTTTTTAAATCAAATATATTGGTATTTTATATATTTTATTTAAATTAGACTTTTCTCTTAAATTAATTCTAATTTAACGAGCAATTAAAGTTCGATTTAATTTTCTTAAGAGTTCGCATTTTACCATCTGGTAGGTGGTAAAATGCGAACTTTATTTTTAATTGCAATTAAAATTCGTTTTTTACCATCTACCAGAACTTTAAATTGATTTATTTTTTGCTGTTTACTAAATAAATTAAAGTATAAAGACTAAGGAACAAGTTTAGAAATTGTTGGGTGTGGATTAGACTTGGCACGACCCGTATCGTACAGGTCATACCAGCTAGTATTCTAGGTTAACAGCGGAAAAGACGAATAAACAAAACAAGAAATATTCACAAATATTTACAGTAATTATTTAGTGCACTAAATAACTTTCACCACTATAGTAGTGAAATTATTAATAAACCATTTACAACGAGGTGCACCATCAAAATCATTTGAAAATCTCTCAACAATGTCTAAGAAAACAAGATCTTCAGAGATTACTGAAATGTTAGGAGTTACTACTGAAAACCTATTTCATGCCCTTATTCTTAATCTAAATAAAGAAGGACGAAATAAAAGCGCCAAAGTTTTAAAACATATGATGGAAAGTAAAGTTGATAAAGTCCTGCAATGTATCATGCTCTAAAGTCTACTCAGCTGAAGAAGCTTTAGCTTTAATGTTAGACTGTAGAAGGAGTAGGGCTGACTATCAAACTACTCGTTAAGGGGCCTTAGATAAAGGTTGCATGTTATACCCTGCCTACAACTTTATTGTGAAATCTAAAAGAGATTGTATTCCAGATTCCGGAATTGTTACTACAAACTACAGTGCTTCTGTAAATCTTCAAGTGGATCACAATACAAACAGGATTTGGAAAGTTATTGATAAATCAAAACTACCTGAGCCTAGCAATACTCTTCTTCTTATAAGCAAAGTTGGATTCGATGACAGATTGTCAGTCTCATTTGAAGAATCTTTGTTTTTCTTCTTCTTGTTGAATCTTGTTTCTTTCATGTACAGTACCTGTGCAACTTAAAGTTCAGGAAACTAATGTTATTCTTTGGACTAACCCTAAAACATCCTCAACCCAATATTGTCGCCCTGTTCGAATGCAATACGTTAAAGAAAATCAGTAAACTGTTAAAGCAGAATATAGTTTTTTTATGTCAACTGAACTCAGAACAACAGCCGTAGACTTATTTTAAGTCAAACACAAGTTAGAATGTACTATGATTGACAGAAAAGTTTCCACTCTTCTTTCTCCATTAACTGATTCTTATCAAGTTTGCAATATATATGGATTAAATCCTAAAAAGGAATGATTTTGTAACTGCTTATAATAAACAACCTAAGCAGATGTCTTGGGACCTGGGAATCCACACTCTCCATATCTGGATTCATTGTTTTGAATGTCTGTTACATATTAGACAGAGAAGAAGACCAGGATACAATGATTGTGAATTTTTTCATGCAAACACTCCTGAAAAGAAAAATATAGTTGCAAGTAGAAAAAAAGAAATTCAGGAAAAAATCAAAGATACACTTGGACTTGTTGTTGATGTACCAAGAAGTGGTGGTACATCCAATGATGGAAACACAGCAAGAAGGGTATTTAGTAGCCATGAAACTTTTGCTTTATCATTATCCTTTGTTTGTTATCCTGTAAACACCCAATCGATCCAGATAAACTAGAATTATATTGCAAAGAAACATTTAAGACATATGTAGCACATTTTAAATGGTATATGATGCCTGTTGGAGTTCACAAGATGATTGTACATTCACACCAGGTTGTAAGAGACAAGCCATTTCCAAATGGCTTCTTATCTGAAGAAGCCCAGGAAAGTAGAAAAAAAGATGTTAAAAATTTTCAAGAACATTTTACAATCTTACAATCGAGAACATTTTACAATCAATTTTACAATAAATTTTTCTTGAAAACTTACAAATGAAGATGTAATGAGAAGATTGCTCTGCTCATCAGACCCCTTTATCAATTCTATGAGGCGAAGTTCTGAATGAAAAAAGAAACTTGAACTTCCAGCAGAATGTTTAGACCTTTTGTAACTTTCTAAATAATATTATATTCTTTATATCAAACTAATTGAATTATTGATAGTATGTGTCCTAAATATCTTTACTTTATTTTAAGAAATCTATAAAGATGCATTTTTAAAATAGCACTTTTTTTTTAGTAGTATGTCAACATGTTTAAACATGTTTCGTTGATGTTTTTTAAAAACTCAAACGCTTTATAATTATATATTTTTAAATTGCTCAGTTTATTGAAAAAAAATTTAATATAGAAATATTTAATGTTGGTGTAAAACCAATATTACGCGTTCTTTTTAAGTTGCTGTATGTTCTTGCTGTGCTACCATATGCACAGATTATTCATGTCTAGGTATTTACAAAATATGTGTACTTGATGATTTTGTTTATTAATCAACCAGGTAGTAAAACTATTATAATACTATATTTTGTTAGTATTATGGAAATAAATTTTAACATCTAGATAAGTACAAATGCAAAAGGCATGTTGCATGTTATGTCATGTATCCTTGGTGTGTTATTTTAGAGGATTTATTCTATACACTAATTTTCATAAATGTACCATAAATCTTGGAAATTATTTTTTGTTTTTGGTTTTTTTTTATTAATATGGACAATTTCATTAATATGGACAACAAAGGGATTACATTCTATGATTGGATTTATTTGCCATAGCACAATTAATATCCAACTTATAAACAATAAATTGGATATTAATTGTGCTATGACAAAAGCATATTGGATTTAACAAAAAATTATATATAGTTATGGCCAAAAGTCTGTCCACCCAATATTTATATAAAAAAAAAGTTTTTTGTACAGTAGTAAAATAAAACATTTAAACTTAAAAAACAGCATATATAAGCTTAAAGAAATAAAGTCAAAGTATAAAACATGCTTTAACACGTTCGATGTTAACTGCAAGTATATTTGTATAATTTTCTGAATAACTAATTAAAAATATTTAATTAGTTAAAATATTTATATAGTTGACTTATTTCTATTAGTTTTTTTTCTTGTGTTTGAGTAAATATAATTTGTATATCATATAAAAAATTAGACTTGCTTTTGGTGCTGAAACATAATTTATTTATAAATGGAACAACATAATTATCTTCATACTTTAGTAAAAAAGTTCTCATAATTTTTATTTAACTAAAAAATTACTTTTTTAATTAAAACAAACTAATATTTACTACAAATAATAATACTAGTCTTACATTTGTAAGTCTTGCTAATAAAAACAACAAACTTATAAACTTTAAAAAGATACTTAATTAAAAACTTAAACCTCTCCAACGCCATGATTGTGCTCATTAAGACCAGGCAATCGACCAATGAATGCAAAGTAACAGCTTACTTTTCCATTAGTCTCAAGTAATGTTTGCCTAACTTTTTTTGATGCAGTTTCACATACGCGCTTTGTTTTCCGTGGAACCTATTTTAATTTAAAAGTAATACAAAAAAAATCAGCATTAACATGTGATAAAATATTATAGTTTAATTTTTAGTTAATATTTAAAAAAATCACTTTTAAAAGAAATTTTTTAGCTTTTACCTTATAGAAAAAAAAATAACATTCTTTTTTAAAAAAAGAACCAACTTATTGTGTTTCTTTTAGTATAAACTTATATCTTAGGTGGGATAACAAAACTTAATTCAAAAGAAGTATACAATATAATTTATTTTTTAATAACCAATCAATTGACATTAATATTACTCAGAGATGTAGGTCTCGCCTCAAAGGTACGCCTCGAGGCTCATTTTTAACCATTTTGGTCTTGGTATTGGTTTTGAAAGGCTAAAGTATTGGTCTTGGTCTCGGACCTCTACTGTCTTTTACTTTCTTGATTCTTACATAAAATATCAACTCAATGAATGAATTAGTTATTAATAACAAACCATAGATCATTGCAACTTCCCGCTCTCAATAAGAATTTATCGTATTGGTTTGACAAGGTTGTAACTGAAATTTTTTATGTTAGAAGAAGTTTAATAAAAACTCCTCAAGTTATGATCCTTGCCTTGTAAAACCTTTCATAGTCTTGGTCTTGGGTTGATTTTTTGATGTCTTAGTCTTGGTCTTGAAGCATTTAGTCTTGGTCTTGAGCCCAAATGTCTTGGTCTTTACTGTCTTGACTACACCTCTGATATTACTTTAACATATGTTAATAGGGGCATAAAACTCTAGAGACTCACACTTTCACACTTTGGATGTGAAATTTTGTTGGTTAACAGCGCTCGAATTAATGGCCGATCAATGATCAATGATCGGCTATTTTTAGAGAAATTTCAAAAAATTCAAGGGAAAATAACCTGTTTTTGTGAAAAAATTACATTTGATCGACAAGCTTTGAAAAACTATTTTGAGCCCTGGGTTAAGCACTCTAACAAAATTTACAACATAAGTACTTCAATTTGCCTCAAAATGTTTTTGCAGAAGTTGGCCCACCAAAAATCTGCAAAATTATCTTAAGAAAAACTTTTTCAGTATGAGATACATTTATAGTAAATTTATGTAATATGTTATGTTTAAAGTTATTTTACCTTAAATTGTGGAAACTTGGCAATCATCTTTACAGTAATTTTTACAGGACAGTCAATTTTTTTTGTACGCAAACGAGTTGCAGGTACTTCCTTAATAGGAAGACCCATCTATAAAAAAATGTATATAAAATACCATTTATTGTTTTTAACACAAAAAATTCACTTTAGTTCAAAAATATAAATATGAGTACAACTTTAATCATATACCATAACAGACATAAAACCAAAGAGGTAACAATTTTTTTAATTCTAAATTAAAATACCTTGATTCTTTTTTCCATACTTTGTAAACGAATTTTTTGTCGTGTAACTTCAGTCTTATCTTTACCAAGATGACAAATATACATTTTGTCGGCAACATAAACATATGGTACACCATCGAATTGAACATCCGGGCTTTCAAAAAACACTCTATAATTTTTTCTACCCATGTCTATTCCACCTTCTAAATTGAAATCAATTATACGTATATATATTCTTTTAAGCAATATATATATATATATATATATATATATATATATATATATATATATATATATATATATATATATATATATATATATATAAATTTCTTTAAGAACATTGAGAACACACACACACACACACACACACATATATATATATATATATATATATATATATATATATATATATATATATATATATATATATATATATATATATATATATATATATATATAGGCCTCGATGGGAAGCGAGAGCTTTAACTCTTGCCCACACTCCTTTAAAGTGGTTTATGGGAGCAACTTATGGCTCTTGCAAAAGTATAATTTTTTCATAAATAAAAATCACTTTCTTTTCTTTCTCTATATTTAGATATTATTTAGAAAAGTTAAAAACTCTTGGTGCTAACTACATCAAATAAGAAACAAAACAAAGTTCCATTTTCAGATTATTGTTTTTTTGATTACAAAATTTGATTAATAAATAAATAGCCAGTGTGAAAACTTAAAAAAAAAGCTCATCTAAGAAATTTTTTTATGGCACGAAAAACAACGCTTATTTTATATATATATATTCTGTTAACATTAACTTCACAAGCAAAAGCTTGTAACAAGAGTAAAACTAAATTTTGTAATTAATAAGCTATTTATAATAACTAGCAGAAAGCAACCCGTAATACAGGTTGTTAGTAAATAAAATTAAAAAAAAAAAACGCGAATAGAAAAGCCAAGAAACTACTTTAAAATAGAAAAGCCTAGAAAATGACGTATGTTGATCATTAACTACTACTATTAAATTAGCGTATTAATATTATCAGATTAAACAGATAGCTCACCCAATAACCGAAGGCCCCTATAAAAAGCTGTTTAGAGGAGTAGCTCGCATGGCTCACACACACACGCACACACACACACACATATATATATGTATATATATATATATATATATATATATATATATATATATATATATATATATATATATATATATATATAGGGGAAAATGGGGAATATTCTACCATGGTAAACATTTTATCTTTTCAAATTTCCCAGCATGATTAAAATTACTACTTAATATTTTTATGCATGTTTTGTCTGTTAATAAGCTATCGTGGGAAACAAGTATTGATTTATCTTTATTAGTATTAGTACTTATATAGAAGAAAATCTGATTATTGATATAAGAGGTAATTTTTTTATGTTTTAAATAATCTGCAGAGAATCTATTTTCCAATCTTAATCTCCTAAACTTTTGTGTTATTATTTAATGATATCTTGAGTTAAAAACCTTTGTGTTTAGTTTACTTCGAAAATTTGATTTTGGCTTTTAACAGCGTTTCTTTATATGTAACATATGTGGGGTACATTCGACATACCTAGCTGGGGAACATTCAACCGGTGCTTGAAAATAAAACAATAATTTATTGCTATTATCTTTTAAATGCCTTGAAAATAAATAACAAAAACAGATAGAAATAAAAGAAATAAAAATGTGGTAAAGGAAGCTATTATTAGTATTTTCAATAATTCACTGTCTAAACGACAAGCCACAAAAAAATTTCATGCCCAGATATGTCACAAATATAACCCTAATGGAGAACCAAGTAAAAATCTAGGAGTAGTAGGTACACCATTATAAAATAATTTACCACCCTTATCTACCAATTATCAAATGCATTCTTCTTGCAACTACTAGAATAATTCTAACAATTAAAAACTGATTCCAGAACATGCTTTTAAAAACTGCGACTCCAACAAAGACAGAAAGAACGGTATCGTTATTTTTATTTCAATATAATTTCGCAAATCTTATTGTAAAATAGCATTTTTTTTTATTTTTTTTTTACATAAGTTGTAGAAATTTTTCATTTGTACAGTAAAACACTTTAAATAAAGAAAGCTATCAGATTTATTTTTTTATTAATAATGATATGGTTGAAATTACCCCTCTAGGTGGTTGAAACTACCCTAGCGGTGGGGTACATTTGATTACTTTGAGGCTTACTTTTAAAACAGTTTTAGAATTAAGAAAAATCAATAATTTATATACATTATCTTTTGAATTCGTTTGTTTAAGACCATAATTTGTAATGCTAAAAAAATTTATTTGTTACTGGCAAAAAATCATTTGTAAATTAATAAAAACCAAGTGTTCCCCCCGTCTTCCCCTATATACAGTAGTAATGTACTGATGACAAAGGTAGATGGTGGTTAATAATAGGGTTTAATGTATATATATTAAGGTAATATATCATTATTAGGTATGTGATTTGCAAATATAAGGTGCGCCTATGTACATATATATGCTAAACATTAAAACCTATTATTAGCCACAATTGGCCTTTGTTATTGGTACATCACTAATATACAGTTAGAGCCAAGCCTAGGCTCCCACCCCCACCTAATTAAAAGAGGGGGAAGGGGTTTAGAGGGAAGCCCAGCAAATTTAGGGGCCTTTTATCAAATGTAAGGAGATTTTGTTTTTTTAGTTATACCTAATAGAAAAACTTTCATGATTTTAGGGCCCTTATGACAGATTTTTAAAGTTTCATTTTGTACTACTTTTTTTATATACTCACCTCTCAAGGCCCAGGGGGACCACTAAAGTCAAGGAGTCCAACTTATTTTATTATTAACTCCAAACACAAAGTAACAACAAAGAACAAAGCTGCTGCGAAGAGCAACAACTGGTAGGTACGTAGCATGAAAATGTTTATTTAATTAAATATTAGATTGTTATATATCATTTTAAAGAGCTTTAATACAGTATTCTAAAAGTGAAAAAATTATCAAAATCGAGTAATTTGACGAAAATTTATAACATTTTAAGCACCGAATTTTTGATATATGGATTTGTTGAAGGAACTGTGGTCAAAATAATATTTTTCTTGACTAAAATCATCATAAATTTGTCAATTCTTATCTAAATGCCTATAACTTGATATCAAAAGGTAGGTGTTAGAATAGGCTACAAATTTATATTGGTCGCTAACCATAGGGCATAACGGGAGGAACTAGAGAGGGCACCAAACCGACAGCTTACCCGGTAATAAATGCAAATTTCATACATAAGAGTAATTTTTTGTGGAAATTTTTAATTTTCATATGCAAGAAGTAGTTATAATTTGCTTCAAGCCATTGTCAAGTAAGAGAAGTTTATTTTTGTGTTATGTTGGGTGCAAGGGTGTCAGTTTAACACACCCTATAACTAAAAAAATATTTTCAATAAATTTTTTTATCTTTATTAAAAAAAAGCAAATCTAATAACAACTACAAAAAATTTTTTCTAAATAATTACAAAAATTAATATTTATAATTATGTTATAATTATAATTATATTGTAATTAAGTTTTATATAATTAAGTAATAGGAACAGTATTTTTTTTATATTATAAAAAAAATTGTTTGTAAACATATATTAATTAAACCTTTACGCACTACTCTTTCATCAACAATGAATGGATAACTCATTATTATTTAAGTAAATCAAATCTAAATCAGATTAAATTGAACAGTTATCTATATTTGTATCAGATTATATTGCTATAATCCCCCTCATCCGCCCACCAATAAACTGTTAAAAAAGAAAAATTAGGTACCAAAAGTGCTGGTAAAAATAAGGAATGTGCTAATTAAAATAAAGTAATGAAATTTGGCAGGCGCATAAAAAGTGTGAATAGGTAAACTGAGAATAGGTAGGAAAATTTACTGAGCATTTTTTCAAAGTTTACTAAATGTTTAAAGTATTACCAAGTTTTGGATGTAAATAAATTACCTAAAAAGTTTGTCATTGTAATCAAGAGACACCTAGAAATAATGTTTAATTACTCTAGATTTTAAAAAACAACTATGTTAATATAAAATTCTAAAAAACAAGACTACCATGCTGCTTAAACGCAAAAGTTGAAAAACGAAGAACAGTTTTTTGGTATAAAACTCGGTACCGTGAAATGCGTATTTCTAAGTACCTACAACTGGTATTAATTCATTTTATATAGTTCCTTCTTTTTAATGAATTTTTAGATTTTTTATCTGGTTTTAAACGGTTCATGATGTTTCATTTTATATGGTTTCTAATTTGTGATTGCAAACTAAAAAATTAAAGTTTCAGATTTTCTGTTTGGCCTGATATTTATGAAGTTACTAATGTTTTGCAATTTCTTTTTTTGTATTTTATATAGTTTTGGATGTTTCATTCTATATGCTTCCTAGTTTATGATCATGTTTCATATTTTTTTATTTGGTTCCTGAAACTCATGTAGCCCCTGGTGGATTATATTGGCTCCTTGTATTTTATATAGTTCCTGATGTTCAGGTTAGGTCAGGATCATCGTGATTACCCTGCAATGGTAACATGTACTGCATGTTTAATACAAGGGAGGGGTTGAATAAAAGGAGATGGAGGGGTTGAATAAAAGTAAAGAGGTGGGAATTTTTGTCCAGATCTAATAAACAAGGGGGAGGGGGCTGTCTTAATAAAAGGGTAAGTGGCAATTTTTTACAGATCACAATTTAAACATTTTATAAATAGAGCCACCTTGAAGAGGTCTCACAGGAGGGGGTTGTTGTATGAGTTTTTTTCCTACTAACGACAAAAAAAAAAAAAAAAAAAGAAAAAAAAAAAGCTCCTTGGTATTTGACATTTGCCAACTCAATTTCAAAACTTGCTAACTCAAATGCTAAATGTACAAGTGGGTGTCTTTATAAGTATATAATTATAATTTCAATAGGGTTTGATATGCTTATATAAACTTTATACTATGGTGAGAAATAAACCAAAAGTTAACTTTTAACAAATCAATATTTATGGAATTTTTTTAAGATTTACTATTTTTAAAGCATGATTATACTGAAAGTTTTTATATGTATCAATGACTGATATATATGTTTTCTGATATTTTTTTAGATTTTTTTGAGTTGTTTTTTGTTAATAACAAGTAAAAATTAATAAACAGGTGGGTCTTAAAGAAGCTTGGGGTGGGTGGGGAAGATTTTGAAAAATTAATATACGTTTCCTTCTGTGTATTAAGTATATCTAAGAGTAATTCAGCAAAACCTTTGCAAGCGAATGTGAGCCCTATAGGTAGTAGAAAATGTGCAGGGCCTTCTACCTTGTTACTTTGAGGTGCTTAATACATGAGAAGCCGTTGTTTATTAATTTTTGTAAAATTTTCCTACTCACTTCAAGCATATTAAGAACCAGCTGCTTATTAAGTCTGAACGAAAATTCTATTATTCTCAAGTTATGCACTTGTGATTACAATTTTGTAAAAGGCCTCCTAAGCAAAACCTTAAGGGGTAAGCATAAAATTCCTGCTGACCAGCCTCACACTTATTCTTTTAACCTATTTTTAATAGGCTGGCATAGACATAAACCTATTACATTGTGTCCTGCCTAGAATGTTGAATGTTCATCTTTTTAACTTTTTTCAAAGGTATTCAAACATTTCTCTTTATTCATCTGGCAATATTGTTGTTATTGTTAACTTAAATGCTCTTTACATTAAATGGCTCTAGTGCCATTAAATCTGGTGGCACGTAAGCAGGAAACTTGTCTTTCTCAATTTCTTACCCAGATAGTTGACAACATGACTTGTTTTTTGTATTAGTTGTCTAAAAAACTCTGAGTTTTCTAGACAACTAACTGATTTGTATCTTTTCTAACAATTTTTTATCCCTTGTTATCTTTTAAGTGGTTCATACCCTGCTATGATCTCACTAAAGCCTTTTTGTCATAATTCTTCTACGCCTACAATTCATTTATATCATTCAACAATTCAACATATTCTTATTACTACCTCAAAATTATTTCTTTTTGACTTTATCTGAGCTGAAGTTTTTTGCCATTTTGCTAAAAATTGCTCCATCATATGTAATCTCCTAGATATAGGTAGATCTGGAAGTTTTTACTTCTTCTAGTAGGTTTCAAAACAAGCATTACTTAGCCTCGTGGTTTTCTCTTTCTTGTGCAACTGCTATTAATAGTAATCTTTTTTTTTTTTGCCTATTTCACTTTAGCAACTTTCTGACAAATTTTTATAATCATAATAAATTGATAAAAAAAGATTGATATTGTTTAAGGCAAATTTCAAATCTCAAAGTTAGACCTTAGAGACCTTAGAGACAGCAAATTTTTAACTGTGTTTTGATCTAAGCATAACACTTCATCTTTTATACACAAGTCTGATCATATAATCATTCAAAAGGGCAAGGCATCTTGTCTTTTAAATCTAATAACTTAACTCTTGCTGACATTTTGGAGAAACATTCTGTAATTGTATGAAACACTGTTGTAACGTTTGTTGTGATTTTTTTTGAATGATGCTCTCACATCTCAAGCCTCTGTCCCATTGCTGAAGGTGGCATGCTCTGCTGAGTTGTTTACTTTTTCTCTTTGCTACAAATACAGTCATGTATTTGAGTCTCTGATCAAGCAAGTTTTCATGTCTTGATCTATCAACTAAAACTAATCTCATGTGATTCAAAATTCTATGAGTCACATTCTGTCTTTGAGCAGAAAATTGCAACAAAAAAGCATAAAATAAAACTAAAAAGCATAAAACTAAAGAAAAACACTAAAAAGTGAAAAAGCTTAATATTTTTTTTATTTTGCAAAATTCAGAAGGGAAAAAATTGCAACTTGTAAAAATGCAAGCGTTATTGAGTTCTACGCCTTTTAGTTAAAATGGTTTTCCACAATAGCAATTTAAAAAGAACATTATTCTATTATATCTTTTTTTTATAATTAAGCAAAGTCCTTTAAGTTTTTTTTCATCAATTAGTTTGACTCAACTTCTTTCCAACCATTTATAGAAAATACTAAGTTTTATATGGCTTCACATATATATTATTCATATCCAAAACACATCAAATTTGTTTGAAACTTTCCATAAAGATTTTAAAAAAGATGAGAAACCTAATGGAGCGCTTTAATACTTTAAGATCAATTTATTAAAAAAAAATTATTTTAAAAAAGGTTCTTCATGAAAAAAAGCTAATATTACTTTTCCTCTATTTAACCAAGTATTTATTTATATTTTCTTCACAATGGTACTTGGATTTTGTGTAAAAATTATGTATATAATGCTTATTTTCCTCTGCGTATTTTTTGTTTTAACTGCTGCACCTAATTTTTGATGTTTTTATATTTAATTTTGATGCCATTATACAGCCAATTTTCTTTACAAAAGTATGAGGCATTTTGTCAAAAAATCATCAGTCTTCAGCACAAAAAATGCAATAAATTTGGATTCACTTAACTTCTAATTTTGAAAGACCTCATTTTTTAAGTCTTTTTAAGCTCTGTACAATCATGCTTATCATATATAAATATGTTAACAACATCAAAAATCCTGTGGAATGGCCATCCAAAATGCTTTTTTTTTTTTATTTACATATGTTTATTCATATAAAAAAATATATATTTTTTCTCATTCATTTAGATAATAATGGAAATATTAATAATATTTTAAAATTTAAATAATTCAAATTTGATGATTTAACCTTTATAGTTAATATGACCATGTCATCATAAAGTTAAAGCCTAAAAAATAAGACAAGCATTTTATGCAACTTGTTCTAATTTTTGAAAATGTTACCTGTTATTCCGTATTGTTTCATTTTTCGCATGGAAACAAATGTTGATAGTGTTTCTTCAGCATATTGCTTTACTAACTCGTGAGCTTCTTGTGCAGTTGTACAGACAAATAGTTGAGGATATTTTGACAACTCTAATGAAGGTTGAAGCTCAACTTCTGTCATAAGTATGTCTGTTTGCTGTGAATCATCACTAGCATCAGATGAATTTACTGTTGAATTTATTGATACCAAAACATTATGTGCAACCCTAGTTTCAAATGGTATTGAATTAGTAGCATTGGAAGCATCAAGTTGATTCAGTGGTTCTTTAGAGTTAATACTTTCAATCTCATTTTGATCTTTGTGTTGAAGATTGAAATCTTTTGTATTACTTCTATTACTACTAACAGCACAATTAATATTATCTAATGAATGTATGTTATCGCGCGACGCATCGTAATTGTGTTCATATTGAAGAGACACAATTTTTGGTATGTTGTTTATAACGGAACTGTTTAGAAGACTTATGTTTTGGAAATTTTTATTTTGTTCATCTTGGTTATATATTTTCAAAGAATTATGTAAAGAAAATTCTCTTTTAGAACTAAGAATAAGAGATTGTGCAGCTATCTCCTCTTTTACGTTTTGCTGTAAAACTTCAGCAAAATTATCATTTTCTTCAATTAGATAGTTTGTTTTGACATTTTCAGTAAGAGACAATATTTCATTTGCAACTAGCTCATTTGCTAATCGTGTTTTGTTGCTACCCAGAGTTTGCGCCATTTAGTATATACTAATAGCTATATCTTAAGAACTCTTAGTCTTTTGCCATAAGTTAAGTTAATAGAAGGTGGTAGTTGAGGCTATTGGCTTTATTGCTTACGATTGGTACCATTATGGATTTTTCAACTGCTAGTTTCCAGTTCTTTTTCTATCGTTTAATTAATTCGAAGTACTTTCAACAATCTTATAGATGTCAAGTAAAAAAAAAAAAATTGTATAGGTAATTTTAATTAATATATGTAGATTATCAAGTTTGATAATTTAGTTTCAACTTATGATGATGAAAAATTTATTATCCTTAGCAAAAATGTCTTTAATAATTGCAGCTCTCCGTTAAATTTGTATCTTACAAAGACAAATTTATTACTAAGATAATTGGTTTTTAAAGCTAAATATGTCTATCTCTAAGGGTATTTGCATTTAAAAAAAATACAAACCAATCATCTAATTTTACCAGTATAACGTTCACTTCTATTAAAGTCGTTTTCGTTGTACAGTTGGTCTGAAAACCAATGGTCTGCCCAGCCATACAATATAAATTGACATACTCTATGCAGAACTGTCCTTGTTTAAGGAATGAAAGTAAAGACCAAGAACGCTAGTATATTCTGTAGTTCTACCTCGCATTGCTGATGTTGGGTATTTTCTAAAACCTGATCAATGGAAAATATTCCTTTTCCTCAAAAAATTGGAACACTTGAGTGAGATAAAACTTTCATATCATCTCTCCAGCCTGATGTTTCAATAATTACTTCTGCTCCATTATCAAGCTGTGTTTTTAATTATTCGTACTCCTTTAACAGTCAAGATACAATTGTGTTTTACTTCCAAGTTCTTCATCCATCACCAAATGGAGGATTGTATCTAATGCATGGTGTTTGACAACTGATAAACTGAGGTTTGTTGATGCCTTTCTCTGTGAACACTCGTTGCAATATTACAACAACACCATTCTTTTTTCCAGTGTTAACGCCAGTGGTATCTTCAACAATCGTCAGTATTCAATTTTGATTTCTCTTCTTTTGTTTTTAAGGACAACTACTTGATAATCCATTCTGTCCATGTGCTTGCCATCAAAGTGTAAAGGCCAACTTTTCATATGCAACTTTTCAATCATTTCTTCCTTCAGCTTGATTGCCTCTTTGATTGTTGACTTGTAATTAGCTGATTGATATGGAGTTGGGATATCAATGCCTTTATGAGACAAATGCTTGCATATGTTAGCAGCTTTGTTTGTTGATACTCTTGTTGAGGTCACCAATTTGCCTGCAATTTTGCTTTTATGATGTTTTCTGCTTGGTGTAGGAGTTATCTCATCTTCTTCTTCATTGTTTTTATATATACTGTCGTCAGCCTCAGAGTCAAAATCTCTAAAACCATGATAGTAGATGATAAGTTGAATGGCTCATCAGAAAGTTTTTGTCTTTTAGAGGGATGGATTGTTTCTTTCCTGGACGCTTGGCCTGTAGAGTATCCCACTGTTCCTTTGCTTTCCACTTGGAGATAGTACAATTGCTTCTCCTCAGAAGATAACATATATATAGTCTAAAAGACTATATATATTGCTAGGTTTTTTCAATTAAGTTGATAAATATATTATTATTATTATTATTTGAATTAAATAGATTTATATAGTAAAATATCTTTTTGTATTAGTTTTTCCTTATTTAAAAACGTTTAGGTTGATTTTATTAAAAACATCTAGTAGTTTTTTTTTTTTAATTTGTTTATTTGATTTTCGTAGTTCACTTTAAATAAAATTAGGAATATGACTATTTTTATACACATTTTTTTACCATAGAGATTTCAGGCAAAAATCAAAAAATACTAATAGCAAGTTTCATCTAGATTTCAAGTACAAAATATATCTATTTATATATCTACATACCCATAGATCTCTCTCTCTCTCTCTCTCTCTCTATATATATATATATATATATATATATATATATATATATATATATATATATATATATATATATATATATATATATATATATATATATATGTATATATATATAGAGAGAGAGAGAGATAGATAGATAGATAGATAGATAGATAGATAGATATATTTCACATAAATCCACACACACACATATATATATATATATATATATATATATATATATATATATATATATATATATATATATATATATATATATATATATATATATATATATATATATATATATATATATATGTATGTATGTATATATATATATATATAAACATGTGTGTGTATACCTGAATATATGTGTATATATGTGAAATATCCCAGCAAACATGCTATCAGCGGACCTCGATGCGCAAAGCCTCCGCCGTGCACATCGCGGAAATTGTAAATAGATATATTTTGTGTATATATATATATATATTTATATATATATATATATATATATATATATATATATATATATATATATATATATATATATATATATATATATATATATATATACATACACACACACACACACACATAAATATTATATACGCTTTTAAATATGTACCAGCTTTAGTAAATAAAACAATTTTTGTAAGTTTCAATAATGAGCTTTTGGACAAAACAACGAAAGATATGAATATTGATGATGTTGAATATTGCAATAAATCAAGCAATATTTCACATTCACCAGAAGAAGTACAATCATTGTATTTGAAGAGTATATCAGATCAAAAATTTTCAACTGAGAGTGCTATTCCCTCAGGTGCAAATAATATTTAATGTGAAATGAACTCTGACAGTAATTTAACAATTTCTGATTCTGAATCTTACCCATTAGAGTCATCAGATTCTAAAACAAGTGATAATGATAACAATGAAGAACTAAAAAATGATTTAATGCAGTGGGCAGTTAAATTTGCTATAACCGATGAAGCATTAGCATCTTTGTTAAAAATTTTGGGTAATTTGTTTTCTGAATTGCCAAAGGATCCACGCACTCTACGTCAAAGTCTTTTGTACCTGTTACTAATATAACTGGAGGACAGTATTGTCATTTTGGTATTAGACAAGGTATTTTAAGTAATATTTCAAGTTTTTTAAAGAAAAAGGATTGTATATCAATTCAAGTCAACATTGATGACTTACCATTGTTTAAAAGCAGCAATGGACAATTTTAGCCAATATTAGGTTTTATAAAAAATGTGGATAAACAATATTCAACACAATAAAACCCCATTTATAGTTGGTCTTTTTTATAGTAGGTCTAAACCAAAAGAACGTAATAAATTTCTAAAAATGTTTGTTAATGAAAGTATTACTTTATTTGATTCTGGTATTAGTATTAATGGTAAAGTATATAAGTTTGCTATATCAGCTTTTATTTATGGTAGCTAGATCATTTATAAAAGGAAATGAAAGACATAAAGCCTATTAATAAATGTTATGCAATATTTAATGGCCTTAATTTGATATCAATTTTTTTTTTATTTTTTTTTAATCTTCAGTATATATATTACTGATGCTTTTTCTATTTTTTTTTTTTTGTAGATAATAGCTGTGGCAAGTAAAGGAAGCCAGACTTTAAAGGAGGCTGTCCGGAGAATGTCCTTTGCATTATTCACTAATAACCTCTGTTGAAAAAGTAACTGGTCTGGTATTACCAAAAATGACAATGAAAGTAACTTTGTAAAACAAAGTCTAAAAGACTTACACTTGCTTGAAAGTATTTTTTTATTTGGAGGGGCTCATTACTCTAATTTAATAATTACTTTTGTCTAATTTAGTAATTACTAATCTATTTGTTAATAAATAATTGATAAATAAATAAAATTTATTTATTAACTATATATAAATAAAAAGTTAATAAATAGATAAATAAAATTTGTTAATAAATAGCTTTAAAAAAAATTCTATATATTTCTGAAAATATGTTAAAAAATATATTTTTTGTTTTCCTGCTGGGTAGTTAAATAAAAGTCTTAAATTAATTTTTAGGAGCTGTAAAAAGAAATCCTGCAACAACTTCAGCAGCTGAATCAGATTTTCAACATGAGGTTGTGCGTTTTTAGCGTGGTGCATCAGACCGCAATGGCGGACAAAAAGTTAGACAAGACCAAAAAAACAAACAGGCCAAGAAAAAAGTGATGCCTACATCAAGTTTTCCAATGCCATTAAATAAAGAGGCATTTTTTAGTTCAGAAGATGAATAACATTGTTAAATAAAATAAGCATCTTTATTCACAAATTTGTTATCTTTATTTTACAATATTTAATATATTTTTAAATATTTTAATTTTTAAACTCAATGGAGTAAAGTTTTTGTGCAATGAATGTTACTGTTTCCATGTTTTTCATATTCATTCCCTTTTACAGTAACCTCTTGTATATGAAATTTACAGTAACCTCTTGTATATGAAATTGTAGATGAGAATTTAAATCGTGATATTGAATGTTACCAGAGAATAAAGTAAGATTAATTTTATTATTTTTTATTATAGATATGTTGAAAATTAACTATTTTATATTTTAAACGTTCGCTAAACGCAAGGGAAGCAATAATCTATAGATGCAAATATATTTTATATTTTGTTTTAGTTTTAAAAAAAATTATTGTTACTTTAATATTCATATTGTAATTGTAAATTGTAATCTTAAAATGATTTTTATTATAACTTCTGATTAGTCTTTTTGTTCAGCTTAAGCCTTGCCACGTATGACCTAATGATTTACAGTTGGGGTAGTGTTTTTCGGTGGTAGGAGAATTTTAGTATAATAAATTCGTATTTTGTCTATATAGCTATGCACAAAGTCGAAAATTGAACTGTCGTTAGTTAATAGAAATAAAAATATACACCTCGTCAGAGTTAGATTATTATTATACAAAGATTAGATTAGGCAAAACATAATTCGTCTAATGCATAAAATAGCTATTTGACTAATCATAGTTTGTAACACTTCAACGCTTATCGTAGTTAAGGTACTTGTCAAAAACGCCAAAAGAATAATCATTAGGAAATGTCCGATTGAACTTTCAAAATGTAAAGTAAGTTACAGCATCTTAATTTATATCTAAATAGTAATATAGTATTTCTCCTTAGGCGGTAACTGATGTGCCGTAGCTCGGATCCGCCCCTGATTACTACTATTAATGTTTAGAAAAATTTATAAAAGTTAATAAAGGAAATAAACGGTACTATAAAATTACATACGTCTACAACTTATGAAATATATAAATAAAGCATCGTGTTTGTTTAAAATTATTATTTTAATAATTTATTTACATTTGCTTATATAATTATTATTTTCGTTTAGGAATGCAATCATTGGCTTCCATTTTTAGGTAAGCAATATTACTCTTTGTTTCGTAATAAGTATTCGCGTAATATTTTTGACTGTTGCACGATTCGCAGATTGGAGCAATATAAGACGTCAGGGTTAGGGGAATGATTTACCATCGGTTAGCCGCTGACGGACCGTTGTTCAAACGTTGTCGATTTGCCGCCATCGAAGCCTTCAGTTTTCCGCTAACGCGTTAGGGGAAAACTGAAGGCGGTTTTTTTGTTTTGTTTTTTTTTAAAATTTTTCAAAAATTTTTCAATTTTTTTTTTTGTTTTCAATAAATTCTTTACTCTTTTGTGATGGAATATTTCTTCCTTGCTTAACAGCTGGGAGTTTACAAGCAGTATTGAAAATCCACTCCATACAGTGCATCCATAGATGAAGACTGCAAATTCCAAGTTTCAAAACATGCTTGTTTAAATTAATATTTTTTTTCCAAATAGTTTTCAAGTTAAACTCCTTAGAATTTGCAAGGCATACATGACAGGACTGAGATGAAATTTTTTTTTTTAAGCATATTTGATACAACAGCGTTTAGTGTTTTGTTATCATTCATTGTGGTATAAATAGTTGACAAACTAGACTTAACTACAAAAATACTTTCACCAAGTTTAAATTCAATATTCTTCAATAAAAAAATTTCATTTTTCAAATGTTCAAATTTTTCCTGAATAAAACTAGCAGTCTCTTTTGCAAAACAAAAAAGAAGATGACGGGCTGCATCTGGACTATTTGGAATTAAATTTTTCCATATTATTTTTTCTCCACTTCGGATCTCCAGCAATACAAACATTATACTATACAAAAAGCGATCATCTACACCTCTTTTCATAGTTGCTGAATTTTGAAACTCAGATTGATCACTTTGACCATCACCTCCTACTTTGCAAATAATTTGTACATTATCACGCTCTTCTTGTGATAAACTCATTATGCAGTTACTTTCATAATCCAAAAGATATTCAAACACTCTAGAAACTGAATGCTTTATCATATGGAAAAGACTACATTTTACTTCGGTTTCAGAATATTCAACCTGTTCTGGATATGTCAATTTTTTGTATTGCTTCAACTTGGTTAAACCTGGAGGAACAAGATGACGATTATGAGTATATTTTTAAATTCAGTCCATGTTCTATCTGTAAGTTTCAAATTACAAAGATTGCAATGACAAATTTGAACCATATAAAATAGCCCTACCATCAGTAGAAGAATTAGATTTAAACCTTTTGGCAGCATGTTGCAGTTCTTCCACCTCTCGTTCTTTAAGACTATCTGTTCTTTTACGCTTCATCCTGTTTGTAAGCTTAATAAAAGACTTTCTAGGTTTTGGTGTGCAAGATGTATTGACTGCAGATGATTTAGGTACTCTACATGGTACACTATAAATAATAAAAAAATACATTGAAACATATATACATTTTGAAGGTTTTGTGAAACATAGTCAAACAATTTGTATGCGTGGGTGAGCAAAATAAAGAGAGGGAGATACATTTATCTATGCATACCTGTTTACATTGGATCCATGAATACGAAGCAGTAATTCCCCTTCTTTTATTTTACGCTCACCCTGCTTGATAAGTTGATTATTTGTTTAATCAGATTTTCACCTTTTCTAATTAATAGCATTTCTTCCTCATGTGTTCTAATCTCTTTTTCAGAATCTTTTTCTAATCTACACGCACAAGTATAATATATATATATATATATATATATATATATATATATATATATATATATATATATATATATATATATATATATATATATATATATATATATATATACATATATATATACATATATATATATACATATATATATATATATATATATATATATATATATATATATATATATATATATATATATATATATATATATATATATATATATATATATATATATATATATATATATATATATTAGTGATGTACCGATTAATCACCATCGGCATCGGCTTTATCGATCATTTTTTGCACAATCGGTATCGGCATCGGCCACTTTTACCGATTTTCCAACCGATGGCATTTTAATATTTTTATCCTACATTATTATAATAGAATTCGCGGAGATTTTGCGGAAACAAGACGTGTTTTTTATTAGCGATAAAATTTACATAAAAATGGATATTACAATAAAAAGCATCGAAAAAATTATCACAAAACAACTCGAGGAACACAAAAAAAGTATTCTTAAAGAAACTGAACGACTACTTAAAGAGCAAAAAAAATCATTTACTTTAATAATGAGTGCAAACCTCAAAATTATAACTGATAGACTAGACACGATAGAGACAACAACAACAACAACAAGTTGAATAAAACAAAGAATATCGAAAAAGAACGAAATAAAGGACAGCCTCAGTTTTCAAGAGAATAAAACTTTAGAAAACATTTCACACTTAAAAAATATTATGACAATCAAATAAATACATTATATAAAAAGTCAATAGACTTGGAAAATCGTTCCAGAAGAAATAATCTAAGAATAGATGGACTAAAAGAGTCTCCAGGAGAAAGCTGGGATGATTGTGAAAAAGAGGTAAAAAAATACTTTAATAATCAATTAAAAATATCAAAGGAAGTTGTTATAGAAAGAGCACATCGCATCGGTCAAAAAAAAGATAATAAACCAAGAACAATAGTTTTAAAACTCCTGAACTTCCACGACAAAAACAAAATACTTAACTCATTAACTCATCTTAAAGGAACTGGCATTTACATAAACGAAGATTTTGCCCAAGAAACTATCGAACATCGAAGGAAGCTTTGGGAAGAAGTGAAAAAATTACGCAGCGAAGGTAAATACGCTATTTTAAAGTATGTTAAAGTTTTTAGTCGAGATTTTAAAAATACGCTTTCAAAAATAACTTTACTCAAATCGAATTCTATTAAAAAAAAAAAAAAAAAATTGATTTAATTCTTTTTTCGTCATGGCTAATGATTTTATAACAAAAGATTTTGATAAGTTGCGTTTTGACTTTTTTAAAACTAAAAATAATATCTTTGCGAATGATTTATACGACGACGATTTATTTATTTTTAATGGACCTGACTCTCCATACTTTGATACTAAAACTTTTAAAGCTGAACTTCATAACAATATAGACGAGTTTACGGTAATACACATAAACATTAGGAGCTTAAATACAAATATCGATAAGTTAAAAATTTTCCTTTTCGAATGCAAATATTCCTTTAGCATGATTTGTCTTACAGAAACTTGGTGTTCTGACGAAAATTCTTATACAAATTCAAACCTCCTAATCCCTAATTATAATCTTATTTCTTATGAAAGAAAAGCTAACAAAAGAGGAGGTGGAATAATAACCTACATCCAT